CTTGTAAAATACGGAAAAAGTCAAAACTATCAGGTACCCAATAAATTACCAACAAATTTCGCTGATAAAACAGTCAAAAAACAATTCTAGTATGATTTGCGCACCTAATTTTTAATTATTTGATTTAATTAAATCTGGTTTGAATAATTTTTATAGATGCTTCCTTTTCCGGGCTGATAACTTTGTACAGCTCTCTGCATGTTGATTCCAAAAAATTAAATTGTTTAGAGTCTTGGCGGATAACTCGCTTTTCTGACAATATACAGCTTTGTTCAGGCATCCTTTTAGGGCTCCCATGGGAAATGTGCCGGTGGCCACTTCTGGAGCGCTGTTAGAGAGCCCCGGCTCTAGCGCGTCCTCAAAGTCTGACCCCACAGTTGCAAACGCACCGAAGCAACTCGCCCTTGGTGGCCTCGTGCCCGCCTCCTCACCATACAACACCCACTTTCCGCATGAAGGCGACGTGCCTTTGATTGGCACCCACTTCCATCACCAACTTCTTCCTACCTCCGTCGCCCTCTCCACCATCACCACTACCACCGCTGCGGCCACCCTTGGCGCTGCCAAACTAATGTTGCTCCAGCGCGTCGGGGCGGCTGCCTCGCAGTTCTCACCGTCACCTACGCCGAGTAAGAAGAAGTCGATCACTGGCACTCTGGGCCGGATCTTCAAGCGTGGCGGAAAGGACCAGCCACAAATTGGGCTGCCACAAAGCCCTATAATCCACCACCAACAGCGATTCGCATCCACTTCACCGTCTCTGGGCATCACCTACAACCCACAGGCTACGGCCCAGATTCAACAAAAGCAGCTGCTACAGCAACAACAACAACAGCATTTGCAGTTTCTTCGACACAAGGAGATGCAGCAACAGCACCTGTATCAGTTGGCGCAGCAGAGACAACAGCAACAACAACAGGGCGGAAAACTAACTCCCTACGGTATGCACTGGGATTACGCATCCATATTCGCTAATTGAATAAGGAATATCACTAGCGTACATTTGGAAGAAGGAACGGAAAATACAAGTTGTTTAAATAGAGATAATGTGGACCTTTGTATGGGGAATATCCACTACGTTGATCATCATTAGCTAAAGTGCAAAAGAAGCTCGGTATTCTTTTAAGAAAATGTATTTATATTGCTTACGTGAGTATCCCTGTAATCTAATGTTCTGATCTCTTCAGTGCCCTTTTAAATGAAAATGGTTTACTTGGAGCTCCTCACGTATAACCCCTTTATTCAATCGGTTAATGCACTGACTGTGGAAAAATTTGCATGCGGTAAATATACATGGAATTAAAATTTTATCTCGTGGTTAAGAAATTACGTGCATATCGCTGTTTTTGAGCTGCTCCTTGCGAATAACGTAGGAAAACGGACGTAGTAAGATGTACGAGCTCCTGTTTGTCCATCCTGTAATAGCCTCAGGCATTTACAACTAGCACATTTAGAGCAACGTGTTAACCAAGAAACGTCTTTTTTGCTCTTTCCGATGCTAGTGCGGTGGTTATATTAAGAGCTATGAATATTAGATCATCCTACTCGCCCGCAGATGCATGATCATGCATCGGAATCCAAGGTTGTCCCCAATTGGATCTGCATCCTCGTTAATTTCGCAACAAAATATTCATAAAGCAGTGTCTTTTCGCAATACCTTAATTATTTTCCAACTAATTGGATGATGAGACCTCAAACAGCTGGTTCTACTAGCATGGTAGATGATTTTTTATATGAGACGGGTGTCAGTGTTTTATAAAATCAGGTACACCGAAATTCAGAATCGGTCAAAGTCTACTGTGACAGTCTCTACGTTTAAAAATTCAAAATGTTAGTTTATCATGACTTTTTTATTTCATTTTTACGTGGTGGATTATAAAGGGTTAGGGATACACGTTTTTTCCCTTTCGTTTTTTCGTGCCAATTGTTCGGATAACATGATGCATTGTCGATATGCGGGGTTTGGCCGCTCTTCCGCCTTAACCTTTCCAACTAAACGGGGAATCCTGAAACACCACCTTGCTGTTGCTGTTTGAATTTTGTCGGGGCTGCCTACCTCACCAAGCGCATCTTTGGCAGGGTTTATTTGGTCCTTACAACCGAATGAGGGTGCAGACACAGCACAGGTTGCACACTGACCTCCACACGAGCCTAATTTATTCGCTGCGTTGACTGCATGTCCTGGCTGTTCATCCACCTGTCTGGTATGGGTGGTTCGAGCTGCGATTCGATTCGGCTATCTTGGCAATGATAGCGGCGGTGGTGGTGTCGCGTCACTTGTCGACGCACTTTTCATGTGTCAAGCAGAAACCCTCTAATCAATTTTTTTTCAGCATTGAAAAAGTTACCTACCGAAATATATGATTGTTTTGACAAAGGGGCGATTTTTATGATTAGACTGAAAACTCTATTTCAAACACAATACTAAACTCCATCTCAAAGGGAAGTCTTTCATCAGGGTCCAAATGTTTGTTTTGATATGACACCAATTGTTTTACCTTTTTTACTTTGTAGACTAATTTACATTTGTTTAACCAAATGTGTAGCATTTGTGTAACTTTTGGGCTCATGCAGGATGTGTTGAGCGTATCGTACTCACCTTCTTCATGCACTTTCAATAAACTAAAATACTTCTTCTGGAATTGTACCGGAACCAGAATTAGCCAGCCGGGGGAGTGAGAACGCTTGATCCAGACTGGTTTCAACCATGTTTATTTGAATGATCGATGCAATGCCCTTTTCATTGCACACAAATAACGCCTTCAAAATCTCATACTGCTCACTAAATAGAAACCTTGCAGACTCTTTACACAGTAGTGGCATCTCCTACATTTTAGAGTCGCCATCTGGCTGAGAATCTGTGATATCCGTATTCTCAACCGGAAGTATACGAAAATTACCGCTATTAAATGTAGAAAGGAATCGTCTATGAAACGTTTGACCGGTCGAAATTTCTGCGGCCGCACTTTTCGTAAAATTACCAGCTATCTATATCATTCTGAGACCAAATTCGCCTACAGAAGACCGCTGAAAGATTCTGTCAACTATCATTGTTTCCCCAACAGTGATGAATGCTGTTAAAATCATTACACAGTGAAATCGCTTTCGGGATTTCGTGCACATCAAGTCCACAGTAGGGAGGTCGATCTAATTTTGTCCAACTCCGATTGTAAATGTAACTCCCAAACATTAAATGCCTATTATCACGCACTTTTGTGTCACTTGGAGGCGTAAAGGTCTTTTGCCATATAATCCGTGTTGGTTGTGCCAAGCATGCGACTGCTGGCGCACACTGCTTCGTGAGCGAAGTCGAGAGGGTGGTGCGGCAGCTTTAATTAAGGCACCTCATTATCACCGGGCCTGTCGTGGATTCAAGTCATGTACTGGCACACACAGCACACGTTCTGATGTGCACGTGAGGTCATCGCTCCCTTGCTCACTCAGTCGCTGCAGTCCCTCTTTTGTTTTTGGTGGAGCTCCTGAGACCATTTTGTGCAATAAATGCGTCATTTTTTGTCATAATGGCGTTTACTCACTGGAAGAGAATTCGCAAAACCGAGATAGGGCCTCTTTCCGACCACTTTGCCAACTTTAGGAAGAGAAACTATAGTAAAAGCACTAACTGTTTTTGACTACATACATATTTTATGGAGTAAAATCTAATTTACAAATGATTTGGGTAGTCTTAAAAACGCTATCCTTCGGCCGCAATTGCGGCGTTATTCACTGGACTAGCATACTTCGTCTCCTCTAGGATTCATCTAAGTCACATTCATTAACCCGAGAGATGAATGCTTCATTTCACCCAAGGTCGCTGTGGCTTACTACACGCGCATAACGCTCTCTTGTAAAAGCACCCAAAAGCAAAGAGCGTATTCTTTCTGCACGTGCGGATAAAACTGACATTGTGAGACTATACACATCACTTTCATGCAGTATTCAGCTGGGAATACGCAGGCAATAAGGATCTAACGACAACCAATTCCCTCAAAACACCTTCTAGCACAGACAGCGAAAACATGAAGCTAAAATCGTAAGAATTCATCTCGAATTTGCAAATTCCCGTATCACCCGTATCACCTTCAAATATTGCACTAATTGTCTAAAATCATATATTCAATTCAAAATCTAGAAATATTTTATTTTCATTCGCGAGTTCAGGATTTACTTGTGTGTTAGTGCTCCCTAAAGGCGAATTAGGATTTTCTTGATTGATACGACGATCAAAGCTGCCTTATCCGTACTGTTGTTTGTGCATAGGAAAATCTTTAGCACTAAGAGCAGCACCGCTGAATTTGTTACATCTTCTTTCCAGATACCGAAGACCCTGACGGTCTAATTTCGCCATCGCTTCACTCCACTGGGGGTCATTACACCAGACAGCCTAATAATTTCGCTCCGGGAACTGGTCTCCCCGCGGCTCAGCCGCTGGAAGAGCGCCGGCGGAAGAAGAAGGAGGAGCTCCTTGACGAGGCCATGGAGGCCCATTTGCCCTTTGCTCAGTGGAATGGACCTACCATCGTCGCATGGCTTGAGGTAGGCTTGCACCCCTCCCCTTTTCTCTTCCCCCAATGCACTTTTAAATCGTCATAGAGATGGGTAGCTTTCATGACTCGTATTAGCTCCTTGCATTTTATATTATTTAAAAGAAGGTCCCTAATTTACATACCAGAGTTATGGGTATTTTAAGATGGTCTGGGTAAATGTTGGCCTATTTATTTATTTTCCTAAATGGACGAAATCTTTAAAGTGACAAACGTAGTTGCTTTTTGAGCTCACCTTATTCATGCTACGTGCCTGCAGGTATACACATAGTCATCCACTGCTTAAGCCTTCGAAACGATGGAGTATAATGCCACATAAACGACACAATAGATAAAATGGGTCCTCTTCCCAATATGCTAATTTAATACTGCTCATTGGAAAGGTAGCTAATGCTGTCTCAACACTTTTCAAAAGGAATATAAACAAGTGCTATGCAATATGCATGCATGCTTCTATGCATAGGAGCTTACAATAGCCACTGAATCGTATTGCAATTGAGCGAGGCTGTGTTCAGCGCTTTTTTGTTTTGAACTTGAGCTGTGAAGTGATGTTCACTGACTGTTGCAGAAACCTCTAGCACTTTTCAAGGCAAGTCGTTGATACCACCATATTGACACACTAAATTACATCTAGCCAATGTCCATACAAATGGTTCTTAAGTGTGACCACCGAATACCTTCCCGTTTTGAAGCTGTTTAGCCTCAACAACTTGACATTTTCAATGTTTTAGTAATACAATGAAGTGGAGTCATTCATAAACACAAGTAATAAGTGCTAAGTGGCACGACGTAAAGAGAATTAAGCATAGATTAGCTGAGGATTGCGCGGAAGATCAAGTGGACAATTTACATCATTTTACTTATCAAAAACAAAGTGCTCTCTTTTATCCGTATCATCTGGCAGGTCAGAAGCGCTTGATAGGAGAAAGGCTACTGCTTTTGAATGGCTTTGTGTTGGTAATGTTTTGTCCAACGTATTCGTTATTCATACTTTTTGATCAAAATAAATGGAATAACAAAGATACTGAAAAGTGGCAATGATTTAGGACTTATTACGTCTTTAGCTGGGTATTTTCAAAAGTTCAGAAAATTTACGAGCAGGCATTGATATTGTTTTACACCAGCACCTCGAGTTAAATTTAACACGGTGAAGGTTTGCTTCTTCCCACCTATTAATATTACTGTCAAAGCTGTTTGTTGCGCCATTTTCACATTACTCCTAGGTATCCAGTACACAATTGCCAACTTGGATAAAAACGATGCGATGCCATACACTTTACTTGTGGAGTTCATCCCTCACCTCCTACTAATGTGCGTTAAGTAAACCGTTTTGTTTTCAGCTATGGGTGGGAATGCCGGCGTGGTACGTCGCTGCATGCCGAGCCAACGTCAAATCCGGCGCGATAATGGCCGCGCTCTCCGAGCAGGAGATCCAGAGGGAAATAGGCATCAGTAATCCCCTTCACAGACTGAAACTCCGATTGGCCATTCAGGAAATGGTCGCGTTAACCGCGCCCACTCCGACACCGAGGCCTAACACGAGGTCAGCCTATTCTCCTATTGTACAAGACATAGCTTTCTTCAGTTTTGTGCCAAACGAACTCTGGGTTGCTTGGATGGTCACTCAATGAGACATGGCTTAAAAGATTTCAGGGTTTTATTCCGCTGGTACTGTAAAAGCGAAGTATTAGTTCGCTTAGAACTTTAAACACTTCCGATTGTCTGTCACTATAAAATCGGACAGTGTTTACCGAGTTTTAGATCCAAAGCGGCAGGAGATTTGGTTGGGAAAACGCTCACAATTAAAGCACATAGATTTTCTTATTAAATCTGTCCCACAAAATAATATGATATAATATATTATCCTACTTTTGAAACGGTTTGATTTGTTCTAATGCCTTTACAAAATCATACACCTATTTTTTATCACTTTTGAGTTGTAAATGGGTCCAAATCAGAAGCATGCTTCATAGTCCTCCATCATTCTGTGGAACAGAACGAGCTTAAAAACTGCAAAGAGTAAGGTAAATCTCCTTTAGACTTTACTCCCAGCTTTGTGACGTGGATTGTGACTAAAAAGGATGGTACGCCTAATGACATTGAGTTGCAATCTCTAAGACCTACAGCCGTCTTTCGGCAGTTACATTTGGGCATCAGCGGGACTTGGTAGATTGTATTCACATTTGTGCTTGCGTGTTGGATAGCCGATTGGCGTTTGGAGATATGGATCACGAGTGGATTGGGAACGTGTGGCTGCCGGGTCTTGGCTTGGCGCAGTACCGACCGGCCTTCATGGAGTGCCTGGTGGACGCACGGATGCTCGATCACCTGACCAAACGCGATTTACGGACTCACCTCAAGATGGTGGACGCGATGCACCGCACCAGCCTTCTCTATGGCATTGTGTGCCTCAAACGTCTCAACTACGATCGAAGCGAGCTTGAGCGGCGCCAGAGGGAGTGCCTCCATCGCGAAAGCATCGGTGCATTTCTCTTTCCCTTTCCATTCTCAAGTATTCTCCAATGGGTTATTAAAGCACAAAAAGTAGCTAAGGCAATTTCATTTACCACAGCTGTCAATTAACTTCCAGTAAGTGCTCTCAAGGCGTTAAATCTTTTTACATGGTATTACCTACAAGAGGCCAGTGAGTTCTCTTGGAGTTTTAATTCATGAAGAAAGGGGTGCATTGTATTTATAATACACCTAAGCTTACCATATACGATATCGCAAAATATTAATGGGGTTTTTGCCCGATGGGATTTCGGCGGAAAATGCCACATTTCGCATGATTTTGATTGTACGAATTCATACGTGAACAAAAACTGGTTTGAGCTTACAATAGGGTAGTTGTAAAACAGCCGCTTTATAAATTATTGCTTTGTACGATTTAGCGATTCACATCGCGGTAAAGCGGTTAAGTTTCATCGCCACTTGTTTCTCTTGGTAGTTGTAAAGAGCCATGGTGAAGCAACAAGCAGTATTGAAGTAACTCAAATGGTACAATTTGCAACACCTTATGATTATTTGCTTGAAGGCAACACCTTAACTGACTGACAATGGTACTATTTTTAATTGTCAAAAGCAGGGAAGTTATTTAAAGGGGACGGGTGTTACTTTTAGGAGTAATAAGAGTTGCGCAATGCCACAGTATCTATTGCGTCATGGTCCGTATCATTCGTGTTACAGCCACCGCAAACTCCTCTGTTTAAATTCAAAATCATTTTAGTGCTTTTGTTTAATAGGAAAACCAGCATTATTATTACCCACGAAATTCCCAATTTGCAACCATAGACGTTAAGCAAATGAAATCTAATGCTCTACCTTTTTACTTCAGATTTGTTAGTGTGGACCTGTGAGCGAGTGCAGGCGTGGTTGGACCAGATAGGCCTACGAGAGTATGCAAGCCACCTGAACGGGTCGGGAGTGCACGGAGGCCTATTGGGTCTACACACAGAGGTAGATGCGAATCAGTTGGCGCTGATCTTGCAGATCCCATCCTCAGCCACTAATGCTCGCCTTATTCTGGCGCGTGAGCTGGAGAACCTAGTGCAGCGATACCGCGCCACTGCCCCCCTCGCCGCTGCCGCCCTCGGACCCGCACCTCGCGTCCTCGCAATGGAGGCAGCGGCTGCGGCAGCCGCTCGCACCCTTCCCTCGGCATCTGCCACCGACTCTATCGACGGTGAGAGTGGATCTCCACCGATTAACGGTGGCACCGACGTCGAGAAGTCCCTTCCAGCAGTAACGATGCAGTCAGCTGTGGAAAACCAACCGCATCTTCCTACCTCTGCAATTGTAAGCTTACACTAACCTTAACTGTTATTCATCTTGTTCCACCTCGTGCCTATTGCATAAGTGCACTTACTTAATTTCAATAAACTGTGCTTCTTTTTAAATGTGCCAATGACCTATCATTCGGTGAAAGTGACTGAAGCCAATCATCCCAGCTCTCAAAATATTGCAATTTTGGGCTTGCATATGATTTTACCTTGCTCCTTCACTTCATTATTGGGATAGTGTGCTTGATTAATCGAATCGTCTATTCGATGTTTACAGGAAAGGCATCGGTGGAAGCATCCCAAGCTTGCCTCTGCTAGCGGCCTCTAAAAAGTGAATCATAAATAACACCAAACGCTCTGATTTTATTTAACTCATCAAAGAGATACGCGAGTAGAAAGTGTAGGCATTTGCCTAATCTATTTGCCACTTTAAATACTCAAATAAGTGCAGACATCTAGTTTTGTACTCTACTGAAGTGGGAAACCACCTATTTATTATCATAACTTGAGTCTCAGTAAAGTTAGGTGATTAAATTTCCACTAAAACAGCAGCCACAAAGTTTAATGAATTTAAAGATTTAGTCCATATGTCAAAAGTTGAACGTAGAAGAGTATTGCAACACGGAAAACGATTGGTGGTCTACTGACAACAGTTTCAATCGTAGGATTAGCATACACCCTTCCGATTTCTCAATTCTTTCAGCGATCACACTGCTGACGAGTTACAAAATGTAATTGCAAGGTAAGAACGGAGAAGCTAGGGTGTGCACTGCAATTGCTAGCCTCTTACTCTATGTGTTTGCCTTTCTCATTTCGAGTCCAAGGGGGTAGCAACTGGGATTCAGTGTTTACCTTCCATTTTAATGGGTAGAACCAAGTAGAATTGTTTGCACGCACGCCTTACTGCGCTTTGCTTGCTCACCCCCTCATCTCATGCTATCCTTCTTAAAATTACTTCTTTTTACGACTTCTTTGTCAGTTAAAGTTGATGGAACCCTCTGATTAGGAGGACTAACCATTTATATAAAATTGAAGGTTGCTAATTGTTATTGCATGATTTATTTGTCGTTCGATGTGTTTCATTTTCCGACCAATTGTTCCGTTTGATTTAACGTTCGACACTTTCACGCGTACTCGAGTTATCTGAATAGTTGAACAGGTTGAAAGCGAATATTTTCTCAACCATTTTCCTTTCTGCCCTCTACGGTGCGGTGCACTAGTGTGTATGAGTCAGATAAATAGTGTTCTTGGCAGCGATCCGGTGAAAAGAGCATATTTACCTCTATTTGTCAAGCTTACCTCAACAGCGGCTCAGAAAAGCCACAGCGGTGCAGAGTCAACAACCGAGAGCCACGCGAATGCGCATCCCACCACATCCGCTATCACCGCCTCGACTACTTCCTCAACGATAACGCCAACGCCCCCTGCCATTAGCGCACCACCAGCAACACCGCTGGCTGGCCCGCGGAGCAAAAAGGGCGCCGCCCCCCCTCCCCCCTCGACGCCTGCCCAGACAAGGTCGAAGACGTAGCCTGTTTGCCTGTGCGCACACATCCCCTCATGCATTTGTTCTCCCACCCCAGTTTTTGGCAGACTGCATTTGGTCATCTTATGCATGCTAATCCGTATTGTAAATAACCGCAAATACACGCACATGCACACACGATTGTCCACTCACGCACCCGGGTCATTTTCCCGATCCGCAGAGGCAATAGCTGCGTCCACAACTGCGTTTCCACCCTTCTTATTTTTCCTTTAAATTGGCGTGCCCTTTCTTTCGTTCCCCAGTTTTCCTCCTATCGGCGCCTCTGCGCAATACTCATTACTTCAGCTACTTGTTTTTATTAGTAAAAATTTGCTATAGACACATCACGAATGTAAATGGGTTCCGTCATTGAAGTCTGACGGACTGGTTAACCGAATTAAAATTATATTGAGATGATTCGCTTTGGTTTGAATATTTGTCCCAGTTTATCTTCAAAGTGTGTAAAGCTGAAGATGATATTAGGACGGGTTTGATTACTTCAAGCAACTCTAAAGCCATATTTGAATGAAGGTCTGAGTCTAGGACCACATTATCACACAAGATAAAATCGAGGTTTCGGGAGCACTACAGACATAAGACTATCTCGATTTAAGTCCGGATTCTGATCCCATCGGTGCCGTTCGGGTTCTACTTTCATTAACCTTCGATCCTTCTTCTACACAACAGTTAACCAAAATGAGGTGATATGCGTTAATCGTAATTGGTCCGTTAAGGTAAACAAATTTTCAAATAAAAGTGAATGGTGGGGAGCGTTTTATTACTTATAAGCGTTATCAATGACAAGACATAAAATAACTAAAATATCAGACCCGGAGAACGTCAGCCTCTGTGAGTTAGCATATTTACTGGGAAGGCGAATGTTCTAAGACCGAGTAAAGCCAGGTTTTACGCCCATAATAACCCAAGAATTAGGTCGTGGATCATTTAAACAGGTTATTGAATGCTAGCGAAGGGTGTCAAAAGGCGGGGTTCTAACTGTTGGTCGTCCTTTTTTTAAAACTAAAAGAGATCCGTGCCAAAATATTACATTCACACACCGCAAAAAACTCTTCACTTACGGAAGTAGAGACAAGAATGCGTACGGAAAGTGCACTTCAAATCAACATACGTTGTTGGATACAGTACGGAATCAAAATGAAGAAATGGGTGGTGGGAAACACTGAGCCTCGCATTTCCCATCCATTTTGGGTGTTAAACATCCGAACGGCTTTAAATGAAGTGACCATATTTGTGTTACCATCGTGTATAAGCTTCCGCCACCGAGAATTTCGGAAGTACCCTATTTTATCACCTCGATGGCAGTAGGCTCGACTTCTACTGGCAGCAAACGGTAGTGGACTAAAATGTCCCTCTATGTGGGTAGACATCTTCGGAATTCGCCTTGCCTAAACCCATTAATCTTTGACATGCTAGCCTCCATTTTCTTCAATTCACGCTTCTTACGAGCATTTATTTGTGTCCTAATTTCCGCATTTTAATTATATTCACAGTTCTTTGTTAGGCAGCATCTTTGCAATTCCAATGTCGATTGTTGACAACATCAACTATCAGTGCATTTGTTTACAAGTAGGATGTATTTTCGTAAAAGACGTACAGAACCTGAACTCAGTCTAAATGCAAAGCTCAATGTCAAACCCTTTAAGGTCTTTTGATTTTGTGTCACCTAATCCGAATTATATCCCCTAAAATTTTTAAAAATATTTCTTTAGAGTATTTTAATGATACCATATGATACTTATGTTGTTTATTAATGCTTTGCCTAGAAAAATAATGATGCTGCTTAAGGGATACCGTGTGACTCGGAGAAGTGAATCCCAAAAATATATGCTCTTTCAGATCAAGAAACAATTTCTTATTCTTACTGAGCCTAACTTCCTTTGGAATGGGACAAAGACATGGAAGAAATTACTGTTACTCAAGCATGTAAAGTTACCTGCTTCTATGAAATTCCAGAGACCCGTCCACACCTCGCTTGACAGTTAGTATGATGTACGCCGGGCTGTAAGTAGTGCAACAGAGGAACGGTTTTTTCATAATCACTACTTCATTAAAGATTTGAAGTTCAGCCAAGCAGAAGATAGCTAAAGTTTTGTCATTTTGAAATGAGACTACATTTCCCACGACCCATATACTTTGGCAGCTGTTTCACTTAACAGGGTAATTTCGGGGCTGCAGTCATCACTTTACAAACTTAATTTTCAGTTTTAGCTTGATTTAAGAATATGAGGATTGACATTCCTAATAGTCCACCACTAAAACTAGTGCTAGAAAGCTGATTTACTTACAGGCAAAGGAGAAGCGCTTAGCTTAGATACCGCTTTGTTATCATATAGAGGCAGGTATCTCTGCGACTTAAGTCTTCCTGGGCTTCTCAATTACCAACCATTCGGAGAAATTGGAACCAAACACTGGCTCAGGGTTGATCAATTAACTCCAAAAACCGTAATCCTGCTGCTTAGTGGCGTCTCACCATCTCCTCCTTATCTTATCTCTCGCCTTCCTTGCCTCGAGCGCCACGTGTGCTTCCGACGTGTCTACATTGCCCAACGTGGACTACCCCAATTGGTGCGCCCGAGGGGACTGCTTGCGTGGCAAGCGATACACGTGGCTTAAGCCACCACAAGATTCTGGAAAACGCAAATAACTTTTCGCTACCACCTTTTAATAGCTTCCTATTCTGTTATTCGCCTTGGCAATTTTTTCACACAACTTTCTTGTATGGCAGTCCGTAGACCGCCTTATTCAATAACTGTAAGACTTTGTATAGTTTTTACGCGACACCATGGACTGCTGGTTGAAGTAGCCATCATGCCTACGTGATTTGCCCACATCGTAAACTCTCGATTATCTACTCTCTCCTCATCCGTAAAAACCACTACTCCCCATGACTGGTCCAACAATGTGAAATCACTAAATTTGCATTATTTACAAGTTTGTTAACTGATACATACAGATGTATGTAGGAGTTTACTTTCTTCCGCCTTGCAAATATTTCGTCAAATCAGTTTTATTGACGCGGTTGGATAGTGTGCTCAGGTCGATATATGGCAATATATTTTGACAACGGTGTAGTCTACGTTCAAAGTGTTGTATTTTTCATTTCCATTTCACTTATTATTCGATTTGTGGGGAAAAGAAAATGTAACATTGTCCCTTCGTTGGTGATTGCAAGGACTGAATAAAGAGAATTTGGACACGAACTGTAAATTAGGTAAAAAGTGGAGTGTTGAATTTTGCTGCAGCTTCGAGCTGTAGTTGTGGATTGTCAAGCAGTAAAATCATAGACAAAGTGTATTCTAAAAACATTCATTCAGTCGTGGTTGCAGCACAGCTTTTATTGCGCTTTTCCCTTTACTAAATACAGCCACGAACTTAAAATAAATCGACCGTACATTATCCTTGCTCTTCCTCTACCAGTGCTTCTTCATCCAACCGTTGGCACGAGAAGTCGGAATTTTACCCCAATTTAATTTCATTGAAAAAGGCAGCGAACGGGACAAACGAGTCAGAATAGTATCCACTGAAAGCGATCTCTGTCGCGCTATGCATGACTAGGAATGGATGGCAAACGAAGTTTAACGCTAAGAAAATTTAGCAGTTTACTTAAGCGTTTAAATACAAAACAAAGTACTTAGTCTAGAGAAAGTCCTACACTGTTTAAATGCAGTAGAAGTGCGCTAGGTTTGGGCACATTTCACGTTTCCTAGCACAGCAGATCTGCCTGAAGTGCAACACGCCTTCACGCGCACAGTAGTAATGCCCTGAATTTGTAGTGAGGCATCACTCCGTCAGAGAAGTATCAAAACCAGAGTCAACTAGTGAATCAATTTAGAATCCCTAGGTTAATGTGTCTAAGTTATTAGAATCCCAGGTTTTTCATGTGCAAAGCAGGCTTCATTGCTAATTAATGGCTGCGAACCTCGAAAAGTACGAGACTTATGACATGGAGGATTTCTAAGTATAATATTCAGAAAACATTTAGAACATTCTTGAAGAAGGCCGATCGAAACGAGCCACGCTAGATAGGAAAATACTTGTTATTTATTTTCGGAATGCATTTGTCATTAAGTGACATGAATGTTGCTTATTTTATAGCACAAAACAATGTTCTTGTCTTATTTGTGTGATTTTATCATGGAGAAACCAAGTGTGCCCTTCTAACGCACCCATTCCTCTTTAAAAATATTCCCTTTAATTGCATATCTAACCACGTAGACAATTTCACCCATGAATACCAGTGATCCCGAATTCACTGGCTGGTCGCAGCAGAGGGTAATGTTCACTCACTTGCCCGCTACTTCTGTCCCAAGATACATATAATTTCTGGCAGTGCAGCAATACAAAATATTGGCGAATCGAGATATTAAATATCCGCTTCAATGATAAATTTGATAGTTTAACATTTTGCAAAAAGTTGAGCACAAATTTAACAAGCGAATTTTTTAAGATCAACCTACGGAAGAGCATGAAGAGATAAGTGAATAAAAGAAGTAATCCAGTAAACATATTTTACTGTAGACTTTATGTAGGAATTTACTTTAGACAAATGTTTTTACGAAAAGCTGCTTTTACTCAAAATGTGTTCAATGAAGATCATCGTCTAGATCTCAACGGTGTTGATAAGGGAAATCTTACAACGCAGTTTGCAATCGGAGCTATTGTTAAAATCTTCAGTGTTTTGAGGTTTATAGGAGCTACTCATACCATCCTCGGTCCTGTGTTAGATGCCATTTTAGCGGTTGAAGTTGGCAATTGTTTGGCTAACTCTCAGTTTTGGTAAAAGAGCCACCTAGGGGTTCCTCCATTGTTTCTCTGCCGGGCGGCCTGGCCTGTGGGTCATACCAGTAGCCTCAATCACATCTGTAGGTCGACGATACATATCCTGCTTGAGTATTATGTCCTCCTTCGTCTTCAGGGAATTTTCAGGGTGCTGCGGGTATGATCATGAGGAAAAATGGGAATTGACGATGTGGCAAGGTGACATTTAGATTTAATACAAACTTAATTTCATGATTTTTGCGAGCGTACAGAAGTCCTACTGCCGTACTGTTGGCATGGAGCCATATTTGTGTCTCCCAAAGCAAATAGCCTCCCAACCTCTCCATACATTTATCGAAACGTCTTCAAATATAACTCGACCACCATAGTTTCCGAAAAGTCCTAATTACGTAATTAAGTCTGTAACAATGGAAGCGGAAGTGATATCAAAGGTCAAATCTTATGCAAAATCGACCCATATGAATAACATCGATAATGCATAGCAAACACCCCCAAGTAAAACGCAATAAATTCTTACAGCAATCGCGGAATTTTAATCTAACTGAACAAACATTTGGTGTAGATGAGTAACGCGGGCATCGAAGAGCATTTAACTCTGACCGTGGTTAAAGTAGATTTGATGATGCCAAGAGTTATTATTGGCTAAGTATGCAAAAACTTTTATCGTTCGCAAATAATGTAACTATGAAACTTCCTGTTCATACGATTCGCTGTGTTGGTGATGAGAGACCGACGTTATGCAATTTATGTTTACTACACTTCAAATACGGGTAGCTTCCACTTTTTGCATTAGACCATTAACTAAATTACTAATTTGCTAAAGCCAAAGTCGCAAAAGCGAAATACGATGATTCTGAATGGTGATCAATGTGCCAATCATATATTACGATGTGGGATATAATAGAGTAAGGTGTAATGCAATCAGACAAATGAAATTTATTGATATAGAGCCATTAATAGCCATAGTGCTGGTGTATATGCCAATCGTATGAATAATGCATAATCGCAAAGTCACAAATCATAACCTTTTTTTGTAGTAATATAAGGTGGATGCGTGCAAAACGCAAAAAAACATTATATCAGTTAACACTGATAATACGAGATCAAGTGCCTGGTTTTTTACAGCCGCAAATGCTAACATATAGTTAGTCACTAAAATCATAAAATTACGGTAACGTTATTGACAAGCTCAAAATCAAAGGTTATGTTTTGTTTATGTTTATCGACACTTGTTAGGTATTGGTTGCACCTGCATAGTGCGCAATATAAATCAGCTTGGCCTTGTCGACACCTTAGTTCGACGTCATGAAGTGCCTGATTCTGACGCTGCTGATTCCCCTCCTCTTTGCGCAAGCCAAGCCTCATCCTGAACGAAGGGTATGTTAATTAAAACTTTATTGCAACTTCACGTAGGAGTTAAGTGAACACGACCATAACGAAGATAATCCTGAGTTACACAACCTTCAGTTTGATCACGAAGCATTCCTTGGCAAAGAGTTGGCGGCTGAATTCGACAAGCTTACTGATAAGGAATCACAGGAACGCCTTACGCAAGTGCCTTAATTGTGTTTTGATTGTGAAATTCAGTCAAATCTTTAAGAAAATTGATCAGGATGGTGACAATGCTATTGCTGAAACCGAGTTAAAGCGGTGGATATCTTTCGTGTCTAAAACCGCTCTTCGGGCTGATGCTAATCGGCATTGGAAGAATCTTAACGCGAACAAAAACGAGCCACTGGCTTGGAGGGATTATTTAGAGAGAACTTATGGTGTCGAAGACGGTATGTATTATTAATTCTGTTTGGAAGCGGGTAGTATTAACTTCATCTTGTTTCTTTTATACCTAGGGTCTGTGCCAAAAATTTTTCATAACTAAACTTAAGTCCACAGTCCCTTACCGTCTTGCCCTTAGGGATCACTCATAAGTAATAATTGGTTTCATCTGCAGTTCACTTAATCGCATTTATTTATTTTACCTCTGGGCTGACTGTTGAATGCTAGCCAAATTAGGGCCTTTAAATTCATGCAAGCATCTCTTGTTAGCGAGCATCTATGTTGTTTGACCTATCAAAAACCTCAGCATATGAGCCATTTAGACTATCAACTTCACCGCTAATCGTTTCCACCATATCAACCCACATAGATTTTTGTGCTGATGCACAATTTTTTTATTTTGAATTGACCGAAATCTTCTCTTAGTGTACAATTTATGTATGCTTATTCCTTCAATCCATCCTTGCGTTTTGGAATTGATATTTTACTCGATTTTTGGGAGTTATCTGCAGTTCAGTCAGGAATGTAGGCCTAGAGTTCCTGTACTTCGTGTTTCTTCATGTGTTTTGTTTTATTCTTAAGTATATGGCTCTTATCCAAACATGAACATCTGTCTCGGGAACCCTTTTAAAATGTTTCATAACATTAAATATCCAGGGGTGTATGAAGCACTAGTTCTCCGCCACTCATTTACGAAAGGGATATCATTTCACCATTATCAGAATGACACTTTAGCCATAAATCAGTTTCAAAATATGACCAAACTTCTGTGTCTTGTGCTAGAAAATTACATGTGCCTACACCTTAGTACCATAAATTTTAAGATGCAATGTATGCCAGCAATTCCTAATCAGAATATGCCAACGTGGCATGGGTCCGCGTCATTCCAGATGCACACTGCTGGCTGATTGGTTGCCCCAGGTCCCCACGAATTTGTGCGTGCTAGTCGGCTTCCTGTCCCCTACTTGCGCATTGGCCATAAATAGGTCAACCGTGCTGGACATGGCCACGTTGTATCTATTGGGTTAAAATTCACTGAACAAGATTGGCTGTCGGATAATGTGTTATGTCTCACCTGAGGCCATAATTAAAAGCGTATTTTTAAATTCTAGTGATTAATTTGACTCTATTTCTTGTGCTCTAATAGGATCGATGCTGTCATTTGTTAGCCAGTGCACTTACAGCTGCTTTGGTATCGTAAATGTGGATAAATAAATGATATAGGGTAAGACACTGATTCACTTTACCTCCGGAAAGGCGATTGAGGTCTTAGGTTCTGGAAATCAGTAAAATATTAAATAAGTCAAGTAGAAGGGATTCTGTTACAATTAAACTATTATAATCATGAAAGAACGTAGTTTTTTGGTATTCAGTATGAAATCACGTATTTTATGCAATGAGTTAACTAATCGCGATAGACAGCATGCGATCTAACCGTACGGCTCTCTTCACAGAAATTTCCTCTGATCCCGAGCGCCAGGCGCAGTACATTAAGATGAAGCGCGATGACGAACGCCGTTGGAATGCTGCCGACATGAACTTTGACAACAAGCTCAGTCTGGACGAGTACTCGGCATTCCTCCACCCCCAAGATTACCCACGAATGCGAAACGTTGTCATTGAGGTAGGCGATTCACTTCATCAACTAGAGTGATGTGTCATTGCGAATAACACCGATAAACAATATATTTTGTGGTATGAGCTATTTTTACACTCTAGTTGCCTCTCGAATCAGTTCGAGACCATCAATTCCTCAAAAACCTTAGAACTAATCGTTAGAATGCTTAAGAAGCCATGCCATTGAAGTTACTTTCTACCTTTTAATTCATTTTATTTAGCTCTGAGTTCGGGTTGTGTTTCCTACGAAGACACCATATGCATAAATTTATTGGCGCACGCATTTTCCAAGCACCAATTGCTTGAAAGGACACCACATGTTGCTAAAGGTGTCACACCTTTCCCTTAAATGAAAACGGCTTGGGGAGTTGAAATATAAAATAAATGCGTTCCCATTACCTTCAGGAAACACTAGGCAGCGTAGACACAGATCACGATGGTTACATCTCGATTGAGGAATATCTTGGTATGTCTTTGTTAGACTGCGATTAGCAATCGGTGAGCATTCACGATGCTCATTTTTGCATGCCAGGCATGTATGCTGTGATGTACAAACGAAGCTTTCCCTTGACTTTTGCATGAATGATTCTCTTCAATCTTCCTTTGTGTTTTGATGTCAATGATTGGAAGCAAAATCAGTTTTTTAAGCACCAGTTCAGTATTACAACTCAAAATATGTATGATCTGGATAGACTTTAGCGTATGGACTGACTTTCACAGTGTTTGCTCTTTTGAAAGGAGGAACGCCCATTACATCGAATTCATGTTGCTTGCTAATTGGGACGCATTTGTGACGTCGAGATGTTGCAGTTGGATTTATTATTATTGTCCTATTCCCTCTACGCCGTTAGTTGATTTGGCAAAGTCCTACGGCCGACCGTTTGATCCAAAGGCTCCATTGGACGACTGGGGTCAGAAGGAGAAGGAGCAGTTTCTGAAGCACCGCGACAGAAACGGTGACAAGCGCTTAGACCGCCAGGAGATCGGTGAATGGATCATGCCCACCGACTACGACCCTGTCGAAGCAGAGACAAAGCACCTCATCTACCACGCTGACGACAACAAGGTATTTTTTGACTCTTCTACTCGGTTCAAACCAGCAACGTAAGGATTAAGATGGTTAATGTTGTTTATTTAATTGCAGGATGGAAAACTGCAAGAGAAGGAGGTGTTGGAGCATCATAGCTTGTTTGTGGGCAGCCAGGCTCTTAACTATGGACGTCCATTGGGACACGAGGAATTATAATTTTTCGATGGATCCAAGTCATTCGTCCTTTCATTACAACTGTGCACTTGCTTCTAAATATACAATAATAAGGTACCTCTTAGTCCATTCTTTTCTATTTAACAAAGGCGAATGTTTAGGCTCAAGTTGATCACATTTAATTGTCGCCATTGTAACCAGAACAAATACTCCTCACGGCTAGGTCCGCAATGGTTTTATCAATCAGAGGCCCCATTATTACTGAATGTGTGAGTGGCCTCGTTAGTCATAATAGGTTTACTGGTTAAGTGTCTAGCCGTACCGTTTTTTTTGCAACCAAACACACACCTTGATTCTGTTTCAGATCTGACCGTCTTTATTGATCTGCATTTGGTCCACTTAGAGATCCTGTATTTAAGGTCTAAGCTGATAAGAAGGGAAATTTCTCAGAAAGTTTACAGAATAGTGAAATACGTATTCAGTAGGCTTATTGGGACAGAGAAGGTGGTTCTCTTTATGCAATAACCGTTGACCCCATCTCTTCATCAACAAGTTCGGAGGAAAAATGATTGAGGGGTAATCTAGCTTAGTCGCTCAGCCGCAGGGGTTTTTAGGACTCCTGGGCTATAGTGCGCCACCCAAAATTTGAAAATTGGGGGTTACTTAAGATCCTCCATCGAGCAGAAATATTGGCTCAATGCGGTGCAAGAACTTTTTCACGAGTGGACTCAACGTGGGTGACAGACTTTTGCGCAGTCAAAGGGCACTCGTTTGCTAGATTTTAAGGAGTTGCGTGAATTACGACCTCCACTTTATAGGTAAAGGTCGACACAAATGTTCACTGATAAGAATTAAATTTATTTGTCAAAATGTGAAAAGTGCAACTGTGAGGAAAGGAAGCAAACGCGAATTTATGAGTACTGCAAGCAGTGATTGGGAGAATTGAAACCAAAGATGCAGAAACGTGAAAGGCGACAAATGGGAAACCAGGAGTTGAGAACCACGATCGCCCGCATCGATGAGATTGACAGAAGGAGAGTGCAGCTGAAATTTGGGCTGAAAATTCCAATAGAGTCGTTAGTTGTTAGCTTTACCACTGCAGAAAGAAAGGAGAGAATCGTGTGACAGAGAAGTGGTGCAGAAAATGGCTACCAGGTTACAATTACCATCCTCTCGGTTGAGAGTGGAACGGAGGACTTTTTTTCGGATTACAGTTGCTACAGCATTGCGAATACTCAGTGTCAAAGTGGTGTGGAAAGGGCAGTGAGGTATGCTCTAATGCAGGTAATGCCCGTATTTGCCCATTGTTTTGCTGGTAGCCATGGAATATGTGATCTTAAAATCACAAATAAGAGCCTCTAGCGGGTTGGGTAAGGTACTAAGACAAAGCAACAAACCTTTTTGTACACCTTTTGGATTTATCTCCCGATTCACCATGGGGGTGAGTGAATCGAGTCATAAGCGCACAATCTACAAACACAAGGAAATGATTACACAGTTTAAAAGAAATGTGCCCAAAAAATACACTGCAAGAGATGAAGCACATATTTGTGCAAAGATGGAGGTGAGACAACTGGCAGGGCAGCAGGATAGGTGATTGAGGCGAAGTGTCATGGAGTTACGTGAAGCTTGAGAGGTGACGCGTGCTGGCTTATCTGACAACACTGTCCATAAGGGCAGTTTTCTGTCCAACCCACCCACAATGGCTTGTTTTGCGTCCTCTTGTGGTGTTATGCCAGTATAGGAGCGTGTTGGTCTGTTTTCAGATCGACAATTCCTCCAGCATACTTGGTGTGTGCTGACCCTAGGTTGAGCCTACTAAGTGTATGCAATGCCGCATTGCCAAGATCGCAGAGGTGGTTGCACCACCAGTCCATGCATGTTGCTACTACCAAGAGTCATGCAAACCAGCCTCAAATCAGAGAGGTACCGTATTGGGTGTTTACTTGCCACCGTGTACAAAAATCACACAACTCAGGAGACCGTATATTTTGGAATAACTTGATCATCCTTCAACTTGTGCCTTGGTGACGAGACGACAATGGGTAACCCGGAGGATCCAATAGCTTTGTCTTATCTTTGGGCAGCCGTATATTTTTAATCTATTTGCCCTTGTGAGGTCACTTTTGCTTGGACTTCGGTATCATGACACCGTTTGGTGGAGTCGCTTCTCTTAATTATGCTCGTACAGAGACGCCACTACTACTGCCTTCACTTCAGACCAGCGGAAGGTGTAAAGGAAGGCAAAGGGGGCAAGGCCGGTTGGCAGAAGACTAGCGATTTTATTTGCACTAAACGGCTCTTGTTTAACTATTTTGCTTGCACTTTTTTAATGTGCTTCATGCTCATTCATCTGGACCCTTTGGACTCCTAAAAATTCTTGGTTTGATTTTATGCAAAAACGGAGTGTCATTTCCCGCGGCCTAGTGAACGTAGGAACCTCTCCTAAACTGATTTACTGCCTTTTACTTATGTGGAACTGAGATGGTTACCACGGGCAATAACTCTAATCAAAAGAACAGAATTTCGAAATTGTGTAAAATTGGGATTTATGCTTTTTTTTGCTTGCTAAAGTTACTGTTTCGAGGCAAATCATGTGTAATACCTAGATTGTTTGACTCGCGTTTTTGGTAGAGGGGTCACTAAGGTGTGCGCCATTATGCCTTTGCTGAGTGGGCTGACCTCTGGGTCATGTCACCAGCCCCAGTCTCTACTGATGTC